CACTTGACTTTGGGAGGAAAAGTGCGTCCACAGCTCGTCCAGCTCAATTATGTATTGTTGCTGCTGTGTGAAAACCTTGTAAGCCCATTGTGGTGATTGCAAGCGGCAACCTCCGGGTCTGAAAAGTGAAGCCGGCGCTGAAGGGCCTTAAACCTGCGATCTCTCCAGCAGCCAGCAGGGGGCGACTCCACCGGCTGCAGAAAGAAGTGATTGTATAGAAGTCTATGAGACCATAAACTCATCAGGAAAGTGTTTACTGAGGGAATAAATCAGCTGAGAAGTAGAAACATTTTCTCAGTCGCTAGTTTCAAATCTTCTTCTTCAACACAGCATGATGTTCATTTAGTAAATTATGGTCCCATTTAGAGGAAAATGGACCAGAATGCAGGGGAGGCTTTAGGGCGGGGCTACAAGCTGATTAACAAGTCGCTACCATGGCAACCTGTGACTAATGGTGCGCTCAGGGATTGGATCAATGTCATATCCGTAAAAAAAACAAAACGGGAAACCCGACAAGGTTGGACAACAAGATGGCCGTGTTGTGTAGCAAAGTCGACATAGCCAGTTTTAGATCGTAGCAAGACGGCTATCGGGAACAGTAAGACTGAAGGCTGAAGGATTTTTGGGGGGGAATTAATCAACTAATTGTAATTTTATAGAGATATTGCGATTAAAATATGTGATTTCTTTAATTTAAGTTTTTTCTAAAGTCCAATATTCACTGCCAGTCTATTTTTGACTGAAGCGGCGTAAAGCAGCACAGAGCAGATGAACCGGGCAGGAAGTCTGACACAGAACGGCAGAGAGAATCCGGTCAATTTTCAAAATAAAACACCCTTTGCAGATTCCCGATCATACATCAACAATAAAAACAGTTAAAACAGACAAAAAAAACAATTTAACTACGTAGCCTTCTTAATCACAGTGCAAGCACTCATTACCAAGTCAATCAAATCTAAAACATGTCATCAAAATGCTCTTATTCTGAAATGCTCCCTGTGGATATGCAGCCGGTAGGACAAATAAACAACAAGTCAATGCGGAGACACTTCCTGCGGACACTGACGCCGCGCTGGGGACCTAACGAAGCCGTGGCGCAGCCGGAGTCGCTGGATTTAGACAGATAGAAAAAGGCCGCGACTGGTAACAACAGCTTGAAACGTCACCTCCTGTTCCGGCATGCCGGCTTTTCACACAGACATCTTTCCGCCTCCGTTACTACCAACATTCCCGGCGGATCAGATCGGACCCCTCTTTCCAGCGCAGCGAGCTGCCGTATTAGCGTAATAATCCCGGAAAACTGGGCAGCGTGAAAGCGCCTTGAGACATTCACGTAGTCTTTAATGTCCATCGGCCATATAGTAGAGTTTTACAGGGTGTGTAGAGACTGTATTACACATACTAAAGTGTCTAATATTCTATCCAAGCACATGAACACAACATCAGAAATATCAGACATGGTTTTATTATGTGGTGCTTCTTACTTTAATGTGAGAGATTTGGCTGTCAGTCTAAATCAAGGCTAAACTGAAGAGTGACCCTCCGCCACATCCTGAAATAACATCCAGTTAACACCTAAACAGTCCTCTGATCTCTGCTAATGTGGCATACCATGTGACAGGCGCATGAAAACCCAAGCTGGGACCTCCTGCTTTAGAATTGGTGGCGTGTCAGAACTGTGCAGTCTTTTGTATTGATGTCTCTCATCTTTGATGCTCTGTAAACCTGCTCCGAAGGAGATTTATAACACATTTAACTCGACTGTATCCTCACAACTGGCTGCTGCTTTGGAGCTGAGAGATTCTCCTTTGATATGGTAAATGTGGGACGTGATTTTGGCTCACCTTGTCCCAGCAGAGAGCAGGAAACGAGGATACGTAGAGGTGTGTGTGGACGAGGACCGACATGGCTTTGTTTTTAGACGAGGTGTGTGAGCGTTTCATGTCGTCCTCTTACCTTGAGTTCGTCTGCGTCGTAGAAGCTGACTTGCACAGACGGGACCATCCAGGACTGAAACAAAGAACTCAGGATGCGATTGGCCACTGTGTCGGTGATGAAATGAAAGTGAAGAGGATTTCTCCTGAGGAATTGAGAGGGAAAAAACGGGAGACGTCAAGGTCAAGAAGGTTCCTTCTGGGAGAGAAAGACTGTTATGCTAGTTCGGGTTTGGTTGCGGTCAAAATCTAAAACAAAGGGCGCCTACTGAAAGTTTAAAACACAAAATGAAAACTGTGTTTATGGCTATACTGTTTTATTTTCCTTTTCATTACCCGATTTGCCCCGAAAACACTCACATTTTCTAAAGAGGATCCAAATAAACAGATTTAACTGTGGTATTACTGTCAAAAAGCAAACCCTCCCACCCTGCAGTTTACAGCAAACAAGATTATGTCTCTCAAAGCAAGTAAAAATCAATATTCAAGCGTAGACTTATGATTTGTGCTCTTTTTTAATCATTACATTTATTCATTTATCTGACGCTTTTATCCAAAGCGACTTACAGCTGCTGTACGTGTCAGAGGTCGCACGCCTCTGGAGCAACGAAGTGTCTTGCTCAGGGACACAATGGTGGATGGGTCACGGTGGATTCGAACCCGGGTCTCTCACACCAAAGGTACATGTCTTATGGGGCGGCTGTGTGGAGCCGGTTGGCCGTTAAACGAAAGGTCGGCGGTTCAATCCCTGGCTGCCCCAGGCTGTATGTCGAAGTGTCCTTGGGCAAGATGCTGAACCCTGAATTGCCCCTGGCTGTTCCGCCAGTGTACGAATGTGAATGTTCGTTTCTGTCTGAGCACTTAGGCTCAGTGTATGAATGTGTGTGACTGGTGAATGCAGATGTAGTGTAAAAGCGCTTTGAGTGGTCGAAAAGACTAGAAAGGCGCTATACAAGTACGGAGCATTTACATTTATCCACTGCGCCATCACCACCCCACTCAATAATTTTAATTACCTCCTGGTTAAAGGATATTTCAGGTGATATTCTATCATTTATTTCCATTCTAGCAGACTTTATCTACTAACAAGTACTGTGTGTATCACAGCCTGGTGCATCTGCTCCATAGAGTAGTTGTTCTCCAAGTGGGGCTGGGGACCCCCTGGGGACCCCGAGAGGGTCCCCAGCAAAAAGGGGAATCATTTATTTTCATCCAAGTGACACAGTGACAGCATGTCTGACTGTTTCGAGCCTGTTTCTGTTATAAAACATCTACAATCTAAAATCTGATGGAGGACACTGGGACAGAAGATTATCAAACGGGGGTCCGTGGTCTAATTGTGTCAGTTTAGGGATGTGAAAGAGTTTGGGAGCCGCTGCCAAAGAGCTCCTCTGCTGCACCGGGTGACGGTTTCCTTCACCACCACAGACAGGAAGTCAGACACGTTGTTGTTATTCAGAACCGCCTACTAGAGACTACCAGCAACCGCAGTACGACTACATACTACCCTTCATAGTATGCAGTATGTTAAATGGATTTATTTTACAGTATGCTAGGCCAGGCTTAGCCAGTTTCCTGTTTAGGAAAGTGGAAGTAAACAATTGGAGGAATATAAATAAGCATTTTTTTCTGATTTAATCTCGTGTGAGGGGAACAAGGCTGCAGCCCAGCGGTAACGAGCTACCTGACTACCCATAAGAAGCCCACAACTCTTATTAAGCCTGCTAAGCTAATGTTTAGCAGCGTTAACCTCAGCGAGCTGTCAATAAGAAAACACGACATACAGAAGTTATATTTCTCGCCTCGGCCACCGCTGACGCAGCGATGCTGCCGTTCGCCATTTCAACACTGACCGCTTGTTGAGACCGCCTGATTATTTTAAATTAAGGTTTTTAAAAGTTGTTGTCACCGTTCTGGCACTCTGCATTGTGGGACAAGAGGTAGACTGGTCTGATGTATACTGGAGATCTTTTCACTACATACTACATTTAGGCCACATTAGTACGTGCTGCTAGTATTGTAGGCAGGTTTCAATACAGCCTCGGTCTTCTCATGAGATTTGCTCTCAATATCAAAGATATAGATGTCACCAGATTGATTCTATAAACACTTCAAGTTCACAGAAACTCGTCACATGTATTTTCACTCTTTATTGTAAGACCTTCCTGTAAACATGTTCAAGGCCAGAACAATGACCTAAAACCAGTATTTACCGGGGAGAGAGACGGACATGGACTTCAGCCCCACTGAGCGGAAAAACAATTTAGAGAGATAAAAATATCTCTAACACGGGGACAGTTAGACTCCCTGAAAGGTCTACAAGAAGAAGCACTCAAGAGTTTCATTTGCAATTAAAATACAGCTAAAAGGAACATCCAGGTCATTCTCAAACCAACAGCACATCAAATAGGCTCAAATATAGGAAAGAAAATTGATGTTTAGATCTTTAAAAGCATAAAAAGAAAGAAAAGCAGCACAACGAAGGGAGCAGAGCTGAATGAAGTCAGCAACAAAGCCCAGAACCCCCGTCAACCCCTCATACAAACTTATAACAGAAATACAGTAATTCATTCATTTTAAACTTTTCTTTTTTAAGATTGGAGGGAACGATGCTGGGACTAAGAGAGTTTGGGTTTTTCTTGAATTCACGTGCTTCAAAAAAGTAGATGTCATTAAAAAGTTTCATTTTTACTTTTCATTTCCAGAAACTTCCTATCTTAATGTCCCCCCCCCCTCCAAGTCTGCTACTACTCAAGGATTTTCAAGGCCTGTACAAATCTGAGTAAAAGCCACTTCAGCTTCAAATAAAGAAAAGTGGAGTCGAAACAAGGTTACAGATTCAGAGAGACGGGAAAGGTCTGAAATGAAAATTCAGCGTGTCACATTTTTCTGTTTGTGAATAAACTGACTCACCTGTGAAAGAGGACAGACTTCACCAGCGTGACCACGTCTCTGCTGGCGTTGTGACCGGCACAAACGCACGCTACGTGGATCAGCTGCGGAGACAGGAGACGTGGAGGGGTCAGTTTCAGAAAAGAGGCGGCCTGAAGCCATTTCACTTCACACGTCCACACTTTCACACTCTCTCTCTCCCCTTTTCTCCCGGCAGATTGTAATGACGACATGTGACCACAGCTATCTAACTCCACACCTTGTTGCGAATTTCTGCTTCAAAACAGAAGCTCTACTTTTTAAGTTTCTGAACAGTCACCTCTTTTTTTTGGAGATAGAAGCAGCTCACACCAGACATCTTCCCATAATCCAGGACATTCACAGAACTCTCTGATGTGAAATTTCATATTTAGTCTCTCATATGTGTATGATTTCACATCACCCGCTTTTGAGCAGAAAAGTCTTTGAAAAGTTGGAGCTCAAAGGCTGGAAAAGACATCAAAGAGTGTGTTCCCTCGGATTTTAGTCCCCGTCAACACTGTAATAGTCACCTGAGACTACCTTCGGGTATCGCAGTTCTGATGGTACACGTACAGTATCTCATAAAAGTGAGTACACCCCTCACATCTTTGTAAATATCTGATTTTATCTTTTTCTGAATTATAGTGTAACTTTGCAGTCCCCTCAAAGTAACACATCACACAGCTATTAATGTCTAAACTTCTGGCTGTTGCCAGTGGTTTAGACATTAATGTACTGAATTTGAGTACAAAATGTGTTATTTTGAGGGGACAGCAAATGTACACTGTTATACAAGCTGTACACTCACTACTTTTATTTAACCTTTATTTTACCAGGAAATAAATCCATTGAGATTTTTAATCTCTTTTACAAGGATGTCCTGGCCAAGATGTGAAACGGCACACAGTGCAAGGTGCTTTACAGTGTAGCAAAGTGTCATTTCTTCAGCGACGTCACATGAAAACATTTAATCAAATATTTACAAAAATGTGAGGGGTGGACTCACTTTTGTGAGATACTGTATATTATTTTCACTCCCATATGTAAATGCTGTACATTATATCAGGGGCGTGCAACGTAAACCCAGGTTGCAATATGGATTCTGGAATTGTCATTATATTATTATTTATTTCGTGGTTATCTGCTGCTCACTCGTGTGTTAAGAGGAAGGGGGGGGGGGGGGGGGGCGTTTTGGCAGGTGTATGGAGCTCGCAGGCAGGTGAAGCAGACGGCGTTTAGTGAACTCAGACTTCCAGACGACTCTCAAACGAAGGAATAAAGTCTTAGCTGCAGGATATACAGTATGCTGGAGCTTTCTGGATTACTGCAAGACATCCCTTTATCTGAAGTGACTGTGGTGAGATTGCGTGGGTTACCTCTGGGATTACTGAACTGCGGCGATTCGCCGTGCCGTCCACCTGGTAACACTATTTCTTTCCTTTAAGAGGGAATGTATTCCTCCTAACGGCTTTTGTTTCCGGTGTGAAATAATTAGATTTACACATCGTGATTAAAGCAACAAATGGTGTTTGTTTCACGAACGCACCATTTTTTATTAAGATTAGAGTTTATTTCTGTCGTGTTCGGCTTTTCTCTTCACGTTCTTTAAGTAAGGTGAATTCTTGCAACATCCTCCTGGCTGGTGAGGTGTGGTTGAGTGTAAACCTTCCTTTGAACAGTTTTCCACAAGACACTCGATGTCCAATCACCCTGCATCCAGCACAGAGGTTTATTTTTTTATTGCAGCCTTTAGTTTACTTAAATTTAGAATTTATTATTAGTAGTTATTTATTCTCCCTCCAGTTTGATGTGAAAACTGAAATATTATTGAAATATTATTTGATCTGACAGTCAGTTGTTGATGCAACTACAGGTTATGGTATGAATAATGTATAATATATAATAATAACGCAAGTTAGTGGTCACGATGATCCGGAGCTTTGCTTCAGTTAAAATTCAAAGAGGTCCAGTTAGAGAAAAGTTCCTGAATACCCCTGATCTAGCGTATAACATGAATCGTGCCGTACGCTGCCAACACCAGTGTGTTCTTCACAGAGGAAGTTTCAGAGATGCACAAATCCTCTGGGAACCCTGAGTAACGGAACTGAATATCATATAAATCCAGATACTCCCTGAGATACTTCCGTCAGGCAGAACAGCAGAGTAAATGAAGTAAATATAGTAATAGAAGGAGCTAGTGTTGGAAAAGATGTGTTTCTGATGGAGTGTTCTAAATCACTGGTACATTAAACTCCTGGTAACCCCAGAAGCTGACGCCCCATGTGTGACTGAACTGAAACTGACCTAACTGGGCAGGGGGGATCTTTGATGTGGATTCTGATGTAACCAGTTTTGGCATGTTAATGTTATTACAAGCGGTAAAACTCGCCTGATCGCCGCCTTGTCTTTTATTTTGGTCTAACAGGTGAACAGCTGGGTGTTGTGTTTCCTGACCTCACACTTCTGGACGGTGGGCGATCGGGGACACTCCGTGTGGTTGTTCTTCTCCTCTGCCGTGTTGTCCCCGTCCTCGGGCCCCGTGTCCGCGGAGGCTCCCCACTGCTGGTTGCCATAGTTGCCGTCCGGCGGCTGGGCGGCGGTGCCTTGCGATTGGCTGAGCTGCAACCGGATCTGGCGGTTCTCTTCCTCCACCTCTCGAACCCGCGACTCGAGGACGGCTCGCTCCAGGACTCGGGCTGCCGGTGTGTCGGCCAGACAGGGAGCCAGCAGGAGGGAGCGACCATCTGTGGAGGGAGACGCAGAGAGATTCAGACGGGTCTGTAACCCTCCTCAAAGATTAAAGCTCGTGTTTCTATGCTGTGTTCGGCTTACATTTTGTCATGATGCAAAGTGCAATAAACAGTTAAACCTTGATTTGTTTTACAAGGACCTGTTGTTGTAAAAACAGCTTTGTTATTAGTTTTCTTAGCCAAATCTCAAACTTGTCCTACAGTGCGACTGTCTCAGGCATGGTTCAATAAATCACAACCTTTATGAAATAAAATGACACATAAAAACCTCAGGCATAATGTCTATTTTAGTAAATGGCAATCATTTATTTCATCCATGTATTTCTAAAAGCGTAGGAGCTTGATACATTTTGTCCTCTGGTGTGACACCATATCTAAATTTGAATTGGACAATTTAACGGACAACCTTATTTGGTTGAAAGACCCATTTAAAGTTAATGGTACTGAAGCCCCCTGTGAAGCCCACGATGTGGTGAGTTTTTGTCTCAATTGTTCAAATATTTAACTTTTTCCAAACCACTATAAAATTGTTTTTTGTACTTTGGTGTAACAGCCCTAAATTATATTCTAACTGCTAATGACAGGTTAGCTATGTATAGCATGTTCAAAACTGGCACAAAAAGGTTGAAACATCCTCTGGTACGACAAAAATGTCACAAGAGGACAAATTCTCTTTAATTAATAATTCAAATGACGTTTTAAGATTTGTTTAACTCCTTTGTGTTCTTTTTAGGTCAATTTTTAGTGTTTTTAAATGCAAAAATTACAGTAAGAAAGATATTTTCAGCTGTTTTTGCAGGAAAGTTGTACGGTTATAAAGTGTCCTGGAAATACGTCTGAAACGGGACACTTATCTCTAATGTGTATTTTTAGCCACACGGCTCATGAGAAGGAAAACCACTGAAACATCTACACAACAGTTGGATTGTGATGAAGAGTTCAGACCTTCATGTTGCCCTCAGGATGAACTGTACGAACTTAGGTGATCCTAATTAATGTGTCCAACACTTTGGTTTATGATCAAATACCTGCAGAACTAATGACATTCCCATCAGCCGCTGCTGTACACTGTGTTTACTGCTAATTATCTAATGTAACCCAAACAGTATATGATCTATAATCAGTGATGTAATATTATAATCTGCAAAGTAAATACATCAGTCAGATAAATGTGCAATATTTGCCACTTGTAATAAGACCAGAACCTCGAAACTGTGCACCTCCATATAAGATCCATGAAGACACTGAACCAGAAAAGGAAAGTGAGACGTTTTCACAAAAGGCAATTTGAGTATTTACAGTTATATTTGAGCATATTGAGGATGGCAGCTGCTAAGAGACTCTCTGTCTTCTGTTACTCAAAACCTTCAAGCTGACAGGAAGTCTAAACCTGAACTCCAGCTTCAAATCGTCTCTTCACAAACCCCGAGGTGACACCACAGACGCCGTGGGTTTGTAGTTGATGGTTCAAACACGCAGAGGGTTTGCGAGCGACATGTTCTCGTGAGTCTCACACTTGAAAATTGGCTCATCACACTTGTTCTCCATCTTCCTCCACTTGCCTCCAGCCCTCGCTCTTTCCTGACAGACTGGGGTGTGAACATTCCCAGAGTGCCTCAGGGTGGGATGTGTATGTTTTGCTGCTAAAGACGTAAGTGGAAGTAAAAATATGAGTGCTAGCAGAGATGCCTTTGCTTTGAATAAATAACGGTCTTTTTCTAATTAAAAACTGTAATTGATTGAAGTTGACCAACATTTAATTATAAAGAGAATCTTCTCAACTCAGACAGACTCTTGGAGTTATAACATCAGAAAAACAAAAAGGTAGCCGGTCGTTTCACTGAACTGAAGCAGACAAATTACCAGAAAACACTCAGGAGACCCGACAGGAGACTCAAATTTATGTAAAACCTCTGCTGACATTGTCCATCCATGTTTCAGTCATGTGCACATTTGGATACTTCATTGCCTTCCAGCTACAGCAGCATTTGGCAAAGTAAACTTCATGGCAGTGGCGTCGCATGTGGATGCAGCGGCCGGTAGCGCCTTTAAACGCCACTACACTTTGTCTGAATTGCCATTATTGCTGAAAATTTATTGAATGATTGACTGGATTCGATAAAACGGGCTGAGCTATAATTGTTTCTATAGTTCTGTGACTCCTGTATGGCAGCTTTGCATAATTCAAAGTTCAAAAAAGTATTTTCTATCTTATACTGGCCCTCATTTCAGCATCTGTCTGAAACAAGCTGTTTATGCTTCTGTTTGTTTGAGACCCCCCCACTCCAGAGCCCGCTGTCTTCTGATTGGCCATCGTCTAAAGCTGATGATACACAGATCAACTTTTAAAGCAATAGTACTGGGCAATGTAAAGATTACCACCGTAATCCCCTTCCCCCACCACATTGGACTTGCCACCAGCAAGATTGCCCAGCAACATTGCTCAAAAAGTTGCCCCGTGTATCATCAGCTTAATGCGTTTACCAGGTTGCCGCAGGGATAGGTCTGCATGTTCCTTTGTGGGCGTGGCCAGCATTCTCTGCCTGGAGCAAATGACCATATTTGGAAATCTGGCTCAGAATGACATCATACTGAGCCATTAGTAGAAAAAACAGAACTGGGGGATAGCTGAGGTTTATGATCACAGGGATTTCTTTTTAGTACTTTTACCTCATCATTTGAAACTTTGGTCATGTTTAATACGAACATCTGACATCGTAACATTGTGGAAAAGCATAATATGTCTCCTTTAAATCGACAGGAACAGGAGATATTCACTATGGCAACGGAGCCTGCTCACGTAGATGCAGCTGCTCCTCCAAACGGCGCAGCATTTGTGTTTTTCGTCAGTTTTTTTATTGCTGAAACAATGACCTAGCCATTTAAGCACGGACGACGATCGATTTTCAAAATGCAAATAGGAAATCCATGTCTGATCCTAGTACTTTGTCACCCTATGCATGCTACACACCTCTGCGAAGCTAGGAGGCTCAGCTAGCATCTCAAACCGGCCGTTTTTATCCACACCAAAACACACATTAAACATCAAGCATCTAAATGAGCTTGTATCACAACATAAATCGCTCTGTAATCACTGTAGACATGGCTGCATTTACTGCCTTGTAGATCTCTCATCCTACACCTCAGCTCCAACTCCCATCAGCTGTAACTCAGATCACTCAAATCACCAAACTCAGACTTATTAGCCAACAACAAACGCACAGATATACATTCACAGTTACAACCGCTGACTTGCTTTTGCCCTTTTCGCTGTCTTCAGTCCAAAAACAGCTGTTTGTGTGTAAAGAGATCGCTGCTGCAGCTATCTTAGTATTGCGCAATAGCTGCTCTTAGGTTGAAGTGTTGCTTTGGACACCCAATATACCAAACGATATGTCTCTTCAATACGGAGAGAACGAGCCCACTTACAGGATGTTCTGTTGTCAAGGTGTGGGTCAGTAAAACATGGGTGTGCTTTTGGTCACAGGAATGTTGATCAAAATATTCACTGTTTTTAATCAATATTTCGATGTTTTGGAAGCTTTCTGTTATTTGGAACATGGTTGTATGGACAGAAACAGTGTTTTGAAGAAAACTCCCAATTAAAGTGAACATATAAACAGTAAATATGGCTAAAACATGAACATTCGCCTGGTATATTCTGAAATATTGTGTAATAACCGTTGTATATTAGTTTATTTTCATCAAATGCATCGTTACAGTTATAGTTACAGGTGCATTATATTGAGCTGGATGATGGTTTTGATGGTGATATTGCTATTAAAATACACTTTATACCAGACGAGGATGAAAATATATTTTCCTTTATTGCATCTCCATTTACTCTAACAGAAAAATAAATACGTTCATTTAGGTTCAGTTGATCTTCTGACCAGAATTATGCATCCAGGCCTAATGGTTGAGGAGTTATTACAGATTCATTTTGGGTATGTTATTTTAGGTTTTAGTTTTCAAGTGGCTAGAGAGGATCCGCCCGGCCAGGTCAACTGGACCAGAGAGTCGGGATCGGAGCCATGCTGACCGAGCTTGGACTTAAAGGTCCCGTCTAGACAAAATGGGACAATGAGACTGTTGTGCCCACACATCTTTACAGACACCTGCTCCATCACCAGCACTCGGCAGGCGATCCGCCTGCCGGAGTCTTGTGTCCGAGTACAAGACTCCGGCAAGATGAGCGGAGGTGGATTAGATCAGTGATGCTTGGTGCTCAAGATGATCCTCAGATGATCACATAAATAGTCTGACAAAGTCAAAATATGCTCTGAAGAATTATTATAATAAAGATTGTATATTTTATTTTACATGTTACCATATTCTAAGTTCTGTGTGTAGCTTGAAGGGACTACAAAGGTTTTTTTTCCTTGTGCTGTGTAATGATAAATAAACTACCTCGACACCTTGATTCAAGTGGTTTAATATAAACCATATTGTTTCATCTATGATTAGATATTTCTATAATAACCATGTATGACGGTGTGAACCTGCAGAGAATCAGGACCTCAGTCTGCAGCTCCCGTCGCCTTTTTAGAGCTTTATACTGAGTTTCAGCTCATTGTTTATCTGCCTGCCTGCAACTTTACTGGTTTTTGGCGAAAGCCACCGTACACAGCGGGTGGAGAACCCAAAACAGAGCTAACCGAAAGAAGACTGGACTCACATTCATCAGGGGACACAAAGTTACTGCCCCCAAGTGGCCAAACAAAAAGCAGTTATTGCAGGTTTAAAGTTGTCCGCCTTAATTTTACAACAAACAAACCCGCAGAGAAAGGTAACTTAGAAACAAACTGAGGGACATGTTTTACTTTTGCTGTGATGCTCGAGGCTCCTGCGTCACCCGCTGAGTTCATTTCCTTCAATCTTTCTTTAAATAGTCACAGCCACCAAAAACAGAGCAGTCATTTGTTTGTCCTCTCCTCATTTTAACCGAAGACTCTGTTCATCGCGACGGAGAGCGAGGGTGAAAAAAAACCACA